CTTAATAAGTTCAGCTGTATGGCCCTTCGTTTTTGTTGAAACCGTAATAATGTGATTCCGGATTTATTAGCAACCAAAGGTAGAGATTTAACCAAGATTTTGTTCAACCTACCAGTTGATTATAAACAGTCACAGGACCTGAAATCTTCACTTCTGTTAGCAACCTCTTTGTGTAGTAGCTGATATTCCCAAGATAATAGCCTTAGGTTACATCAGATCTATGATCTATTCAAATTTGAATTCAAAAGCAACAGACACAGCTACTTTTTGTCATGCTTAGCAAATACACGAGAAGGTTTTAATGGTTTTCTCTCATGCCGAACTTCAATGTACCCTTACAGCATGGTCCACTGAAACTAATGGATAAGCAGCTGGTGTTCCCTGGCTGGAGCTGAAAAATTGCTTGTTCTCTTGGGAACTTGTTGATGCATATAACATGTTCTTTGGAAGACAGGGCCTTTTTAAACATATTGTCAGCAGGTGAACTGCACGGTGTATAACCAAGCATTTGTTAGACAAGCTCTTAGGCTAAAACAGGCCAATGAGAATGGGAAATAACTACCTAAAGCAACAACATTACATGGATTAACAGCCCAGAAAGAAGGCAAATAATGTCATGAGCATTCATTGCTGTTTATTGTCTGTTGCAAATATAAACAACAAACAGACATGTGTTACAGCTTTGACTCACACTTCTTTCTGTTAACTGAGTTGAATCTAAAACAAGATGTCTGCCGGCTGGAAGATTACTGTCTCTCTTCATCACTGGATGTATTTGGAAACAAGAAATAATGCACCAATCAATTTATAATTAAATGACTTTAAATGGGAGGAGTCTTGCAATATCCCTTCAATAGACAGCAGCCTGTTATTTTAATGTAACAAATGACTTCAATGTAATAAATCAGCCAGTTGACATATTTCGACGTTTAACATACAAATGAGGAGAGTTTTGGGGTCAGAGAGCAGGACCAGCTAGCGTCCCTGGAACACTTAGGGACAAGGACCGTCTTCAAGGGCTCATCAGTGATGTGATACTTTGTTTTCACAGGATTTGAATGCACAACATTCAGGACACAGATTCCTAAACTGATAAGCTACAAACTACCACCATCGAAGACAGTCAGAGAACATGGTTATGTTTGCTAACAGCCTTCTAGGGGCAAGATGTTAGCTTTTAGTGTCTATAACTGTGATAGGAGTTACGTTCCTCTAAGTACTTATGTGGCTGGGGCTCACACACTAAATTCTTCAAACTATGTCACCCCCCCTCCCTTAGTCCCCTTTTATTGTTTTTTTCGAAGTTTAATGCCTTTTGTCAGGGCTTGTAATTATATATATATATATATATATATATATATATAGATTTGGTCACAGTATAAAACACGAATCTTCCAAAACAGAATGGCAGCATGTTTTATAGCTTGATACCGCTACTAAAATTATTCCATTCACGTGGCATACCAGATGTGTGTACAGTTTTTACATGAGTCTGAACCACTTGCAGATTCATAGTCTATGCCTGGTGAATCAAACAATAAACAAATAAACCAAATCAGACGGAAGACAATAATGCAATATGCAATTGAATAGGATTGTCCAAAGATACAACACTCAAAGTCGCCCTAATGGCACCGACATGAAGCCACTAAAGGAAGCAGGGCTTCAAAAGGCTAGTAGGCCATCAGCGGTGTGGTTCACTGGTGGGCTTTGGGTAATGTCAGAACAGGAAAAGCATTCCTGGTACATCAAGGTCTCCGAGTCTTCGACTCTGCCGAAACTCTGAGGTACATATGCGCTCTTTCATCTGGCAGCACAATAGAGCCTGTCGTCAAAAACGGTATCCTATACACACAGCCACAGGCAGACATAAAAGGGGCCTATCCATCACTGTCCTTGGATAACCACTTTGGAGAGAGAAGGCTAGTAACAAAATTGCCAGCAATAGACGGTGATAAGAAATGAGGACAGTTTTCAATAAATAATAAATGAGACCCACAACAGCGCCGGGTTCTTTTATCTCAAAGGAGCATCTTTGTAAATGCAAATCTATGGCTAAGCACCAAATCTACTTCTCAAGAACTGCGTGTAACCAGCACGTGTAACCAGTAACGATGACACGCCCTCACTTCAAAGGAAAAGCCTTGTAACTAATAACCCCTGTGTAAACAGTTCTTCAATGTGTGATGTGAATATGGTCTTAAATATAATTAATTGTATTTTTTATATCAAAAACACCTCCTGTAGACTCCATCCATAGATCTGTGCTTTATCTTTTTGATTTTGTCATTTTTGGATGCTTGTCGCTGAATTTGCTTTTTGTACTTTATGCTCTCTTTAGAGGGTGGTATGGTGCTTCAGTGGATAGCACTGTTCCCTGATACCTATAAGGACTGGAGTTTAAATGCTTCCTTTGCTATGTGCGCTTGGAGTTGCATGTTCTAACCACGCCTAGTAGGGTTCCTCCAGGTACTCCTGCTTCCTCCTACAGATCAATGATGAGTAGCTAGGTTAATTGGAATCTCTAAATTGCCTAGTGTTGATAGTGCATTGAATTAGAGCAGGGGTGTCAAACTGCAGTCCTGGGGGGCCGCAGCCCTGTGTAGCTTAGTTCTTTCCCTGTTCCACCACAAATGATTCAGCTCAACAGCTATGTGGTAATTAGCAAAAGAAGTTGAATCAGGTGTGTTAAATGAGGGGAAGCCCAAAAATGTGCAGGGCTCCGCCCCCCCAGGACTGGAGTCTGGCACCTGTGAATTAGAGAACTGAACTTTAACGAACACTTCATTTTGGCCTGCCTCAGCCAAACGGAACTGGGTTTATTCACTCATGAACCCTTTCCCGACATTCATATTTACCTGAAAGCCTACTGTGTTGTGAGGTAGATCCCTGACTACACAAATTGTTGTTTACCTGTTTAGCCTATCTCAAAGTAGGATTTCCTCAATCTATGAATTGATGCAAGCAAACTCTCCGGAACAGAATATCAATGAAGTGTCTCATTTTAAAGTCAGGTGTGGTTGCTTCCCAAGCAAGGCCTTATGGGATATTTAATGTCACCTGTATGAGTGAGGCCAGTGGTGTGGACATATCAGCGGGGGGGGGGGGATTAACGAATAGGCTTGCATAGGCTGCAGCCCAGGGGCCCAGAGTGATCAGGGGGGAACGTCTAGTTCTTTTTTATTTGCAATTTGTTAAAGTAACCAAACTTGTTAATCTGCCACTGCATACCACTGCATGTTTTTACTTTATATTCACCCCTAATGCATCCCAAGACCCAAGCTCAAATGCCTTTTTGGAAATTTGAAATATTCATACATTTGTTCCTGCAAAATATTTGCTGAACGTGACAAGGTAGATGATGAGTAAAACTGTCCTACTTGCAGCAAAGCTTAAGCAGCCCATAATATGCCAGAAGCATGTACAGTACCTACATTACTCTGTATTTCTGTTGTGTTTCAGATAAGGACACAGAATTCAGTGCAGCTCTTCCACGTTACATTGGTGTGTCATTTCTCCCTCTGTCCTATTGTGCTCATTCTAAAAGCATGTTATTGCAAACATTTTCTTGATAATTTTTTTGCAGTTTGACTTGGCTTAAACCGTGACACAGAACAGAAAAACACATTTGTTCAGTCATTAGTAGAACACATAAACGAATTAAGATGAAGCTGAACACAAGTAATGCATATGGCAAGTGGTACCCTCTGTTTTATTTTAGTTACCTTATTTGACTTTATTCTGTTATTCAAAGTTTATTTATTCTGTTTTTACATACAGGTGGTTGTTTTTGAGCTGAAAAATGCAGATACATGTTAGAATACAGGAATCTTAAGGATACAAAAGCTTTGATCACCAGGTCAGTATTATAACCACTACAGCATCCTCTGATAAGCACATGGATTTTCGATGCTTGACCATTGCATTTTGTTTCAAGTTGCTCTTGCCACCCTGAAATAAAAAATGAAAAAAAAAAAAAAACTAAAGGACGTCATTCCGTTTCCAAATTTATTCATCTTATTAAATATGTAGGAAAGTGTGTTAACTAAGCACCTTTTGCAAAACACCTGCTTTATGTGTGGTCTGTGGCTGTTGATGTTTTAAAGAGAGATGCCGGAATGAATCATATTTTCCCAGTCTTGCTCTGGGGACCAAATATACATACTGTATGTGGGTTTTCAGCCCAAGCTGCCTCTTAATTAATGAGGAATGTGATACTGTTCTAGATGTCAGATGTTTAAGCGTAGGAAAATACATCTGTGTTTCTAAAAGTCAAAAAAGGCTTTATTCCTTTACATGATTAATGTGGTGCTTTTATGCTTTTTACATAAAACAGTAACAGTTAAGAAACTATTTAATGATAAGTAAAAGTTGCACAATAGTTACTACATTACAATAATTAAAGTAATGCTCTTAATTTAACAAACAAAAAGAATGATTAAAAACAAAAGAAATATCTTCTGTTTCAAATGTTAAATAAAATTTAACAATTAATTAAAAAAATGAAGTAGAAGAAACAGAAGTCTATTAATAATCAAACAACAGTGTTAAATCAACAATAACCAAGTGTAATCAAATAAAGACCTGCATACATAGAGGCAGGATTCATGCATTAGGTAACCAATAACCATTACACCAGATATTTTCCATTTACACACAGTAAACTACCAACTTCACTTGATAGCTGATGCTGCCATTCATGTAGCAGGATGTGAAATATTATAGATTTACATTGTATTCCCACTCCGAAGTTTTTCATCATTAACGACTCAACACTCTATAGCCGATCTGCTCCTGAAACGAATAACAGGTGATAATTATCACCAGCATACCTTCGAAAGTCATTACGATCCCACACAGGGCAGCATACTTACATGTAGGTCCTAAGTTATCAGAGAACACGACGTGTGTGAGTGTTTGTGTATGTGCTTGTGGGCAGGCACTAGGACCTGTGGGATCTCACAGCGAATGAGACTGACACACAGACTTCTCTGACTTTGTGAAACAATCAATGTCTCAAGCAGTGTAGAAGTTGAGCTGGAGTGAATGGAAGAGGACCAGTCTTTCCAACCTGGGCTTGGCATTTGGGATAAGGCTCTGGATTAACACACAAGGTGGACTATACCCTCTGTCTGCCGGGACTTTAGCACTTGCTGGGGAGCAGGAACAGCAGTGGAGGTAAGAAACGATTTTTCTTCGCTGCTCCTGCTGCTGCTCTCCGTCTGCGCTGAACTTTTCTGTCTGTGCAGTCTGCAGAGAGCTGCCGTCTGCCTGTTCCAGGGGTACGCAGAAGCTGATTGTGAGTTTCCTCTTGACAGAGTTGCCCTCTCAGCAAGCCGGGCTGAGGCTGCAGGGCATTATGCTGTAAAATGCTACGCTTCCCTCTGGAGAGACTTGAAAGGTGTCATATTTACTGAGGTCCCAATTCTGGCAGATTAGTAAGTCAGGCATCAAGTCCTAATGCGGCCACAGGGTTTGTTTGTCTCGACCTGCCAAGCCTCAGATGGCTAAACGACATTCACAACTGGCCAGTTTCCTTGAGTCTGGCCAGTTCTTTACTGTCTGTCTGGTTGGTGAGATGTTGGGTGCTAGGGGGTGGGGTACTGGGATCTGGCCCTGAATGGGAACCAGCCGCTGCCTTGATCCCCTCTGGGAGAAAGACCCCCTCCTTTCCCTGATCCCCACCCAGCAGTTTGTCAAGTTCATCCTGTCGCGGGGATCGCCATACCCCATCCGCAGCTTTGAAAAAGATATAGTATAATCACCCCAAAACAGCAGTTTTTACACGGCTATAGCAATGCGAAATCCTACTCCATGAGATGGTAGGAGGTCTACAAATGGGAGACAGCAGACCACACTGTTGGCGGTGCATACCTGTGTACTCATGGGCTGCTCCCCGTAACACTTGTTAGTCATACAATAACCCCAGGCAGAATCGTTACCCGAGTCAGCCTGTGACTAGGACACAGACAGCCACATGGATTACTTAGCATGTCTCAAAGCCTGAAAACGTGTTTTGAAATCAGAAGTCTTTCTCCGCCCCCTGATACCTCCCCATGATCCATCATGCTAATTGTGGACAGGTAGTGAGCTGGGCTCCAGTGCAACAAAGTGTGCGATTATTTATGACCCAGATCTGGTTTCCCATTGAGTCTGAATCAAAGGCCCCTGAATGCAGGTGATGCCGGCCCAGGATGGGCATTGAGCTCTGAGGAGGCCCACCTGGCTGGGGCACACGCACACACAGCATACACACCTTCCAGATGCTTCCAGAAACCCCCCTCGTGCCATGCCTCAGCTTCCTCCTCACACTTCTGAGCAGCTGCTAGGGCAGCCAGTCCGTTCGCAAAGTGAACATTCATTCAGCTTCACCTGTTAAATTATTCACATCTTGCCTCTATTAGTTTCTTAAACAAATAAACTTACACATCTAACACTTGTACCTATTCTTTCTGATGGACGTTCCATTGAAGTGGAATGTATGTATGCTGTTCTCTGGTGTACAGTAGCAGAATACTTTAACCCATAATTCATTTGCAAAGGTCACTGCTTCAAAATGCATTTTACAGTATACTGCAAATCAGTTCCATTCCATCCTGTCACAAAGCTCTGGAGAAATGTCTGAAGAAATATAGTTTGCATACTTCTTTAGCTATATAAACATTACATTCTGTCTTTGAGACAATTCATGCATTATAAATGCACTGATATAAAACCAGTTATTTTTCATTAAATTATGAAAGGTTACAGGAATGTCCTCTATTACTTCTAAAGATCACTGTACTGTAAGATAGTGAAGCACGGAGACATGGAGATGAAGCAGCGCTAAAATGTAGTGATATAGCGCTAAAATGCACTGATATAAAACCAGTTATTTTTCATTAAATTATGAAAGGTTACAGGAATGTCCTCTATTACTTCTAAAGATCACTGTACTGTAAGATAGTGAAGCACGGAGACATGGAGATGAAGCAGCGCTAAAATGTAGGCAGGATGTCCAGAAGACCATCCGTGGTATAAACAATCGGCTAAGTGGAGCTGAACAGTGAGAAACAGCCTCACTTGGCATGCGTTCACAAATTAGGGGGCACCATTCTAACACATGGTGTAAAGATCACCCCCCCCCCACCTCCCCATGCAAACGTTTCAAAAATATTTACCATTTTCACTCAAGAACAAAAATTCAGCAAAAGCGAATGCTAAGCCCAGGCATGTCCGCACGTTTGTCAGAACATAAACAGTTTAGATGTGTGTGGAACTCTTCAATCCCACTAGAGTATCTTTTCCCTCCTTTTTTCTGACCTCATCCAATTTTTCCCCTTGCACAAGCTCATTAGTTCTCCTTAAGGCACTGGCGATGCTTGCCTCACGTTCTTCTTAACTCCTGCTTTTGAAACTACTACAGCCATCAAGTTTGCTCACCTGAGAGAAGCCATATGACATTTTTTTGGCTGCCGTTTTCGGAGAGGACCTACAATGCTATTGCTAAGTGCTGTCCGGAGAATCTTCCTGTACCATAATAAATGCCATAAGAACGCGGTAACTGTAATAGTGACTGTTTGGCTGACCTTGTCGAAGGACAGCTGCAGCACTCCAGTGCCTGGTAACCTAGAGTAGGGTAGCATCAGACATGGATGGCCTGTTCTGTGTTAAGTTCTCTCTTGACTACCTGAAATCTGCCCGAAACTAAATCCATTGAGAGTCATATTGAGGACTGATTCCTTAGCAAAACATCCCAGGTGTTGTAGTAAAGTCAGCATTTCTTTAGTGGTAGCAGCAAACAGAGCTGGGAGTTTCCACACAAGACAAGTAGCTTTTATATTATATATTGCTTTAGTGTGTTTTAGTGCCTAATAGTTTATCCACTGAGATTAACCTGGGTAGTCTTCCTGCTGAGATCCTTAATATCTATAATGATGTGTATGGTTTTGTTCTGGCTATAAGTATTAGCACAAAAACAGAACTCATCCTGCCACTTTGCACCAATTTCCTGGCTGACTTTGCCTCAACAAATTCATGGCATGTGTGTCTACTGACAGATTCATCAAGCAAGGTGATCCCTGCAAGCGATGATCTCAATGCTCTGATAGACACCACCCGTCTGTGTCAGTGTTCGAGCTTCGGCGCTCGAGCTTCAGTTCTCTGTCACACACACCCAAGGGTTCCATCTTACAATCCCCTCGCCCAACTTGTTTTCCATATTGTGTATAGTCTTGCAAGGTCAATGGCAATCTTCTCACCAAAGACAAGTGAAGCATGCATATTAAAAATACCAGGAGCACTATGATTCTGCTTTGCAGGATTTGATCATTTGCTGCAACTGAGTGCTGCAACTGAGCGTTAACAGTAGGCACAGAGTCAGGTTGTTGTCGTTGTCTTACACCACATTGTCACACACTGTCAAGTCCAAAATTTAAAGGATGCACTCACACCTTTGTCAGCCAGAGCATGCACGTCCCATTTGAGAGGGTGTCCATCAATGAACAATACGTGCACCACCAAATGGGCCCAAGCGATGAATAATGGCACAGACAGACAGGTGTGGCCGTGCACTCATTTTGTTTGCATGTTTCGTTTGTTACTGTGTTTCCCTAAACTGCCTCTCTCTCTCAGCACCACCTCATTAGCCTCAGACCTTCTTGCTGGAGCGGGAGAACACACCGAGAGGCACCTCCTTCATGATTCACACCAGCTTCCCTTTTGTATCTGAATCCCAACCAATTACATTATGACTGCCTTGAATAAACAGCCCGTGGTACAGAAACACCATTACATCATCTTTTTTTTAGCCCTGCCTTTTGTTTAAGTGAAGAAATATGGCACAGTCGCCAGTCTTGTAGTTAAATCAATGAGAACTTTCACGTGAAATAAATAATTCACAAGAATGAGTTTTGTTTTGGGTTGGTAAGTATTATTAAACTGTGGTCATGGATTATTGCTGAGGCATTATGGTAGTGTGGTTGCAGGTTCAAATATAGACCCCAAACTGCCTGAATGGAGTTTGATCCTTCTCCCTTGGCTTCTGTTGACATCTAAACGATACAGGACTTAGGTGAATCTAGGTTGTTTCCACAGCTGGTTTCACCTGGTTAGCTAACAGATAAATAATGTGCATGGGCTAATGTGTTTGGGCCGCCGCAGCTGTGCATAGTCTTCATAGTCTGGGCTCTCCATCATTTGCACCAGAGGCTGATGCTGCCAACATTTTGAAAGCCACGATCTGAACACATTTCCACAACATCACACGCCCTGGATTACGGCACTGTGTGGCCTGTCATTCTTGCTCAACTGAAGCATAAACAGTGCAGTTTCTCACCATTATCCTTCTGAGAATAAACTAAATTCCCACAAAAATAGACAATGTGCTTAAAAAAAATGTGTATCTAAGGACTCAAGTTGGAGAGAGTGTGTGTCTGTTGTGTGTGGGGGGGTACTCGCGTACCATTAATGCAAAATCTGAGGCCCCCTGTTACACACAGGCCTTGGGCTTAGTTTATTTGATTACTTGAGAGCAGAATATAAAATCCTTCAGTTAGAGAAAATAAGAATCGAATGCCAGAAGCAAAGAAATAAAAAGCACAGGGAGGATGAAGCTGAACATCTGAACACCCCAGGGTCATGTTCCCACTTAAATGCATGTAAGGGACAGGGGGCACAATTAGCACTCAATTGAACCCCAGGATTCCAGGGAACTTCTTGGTAGGGGCTGTTGAGGGCAACATGGCAGCCAGAAGTATGTTACCATGGTCGGGAGAAGGTTCTGACCTGAACCATCTCAATTTCTAAGTCAGTTTCCAAGCCCCTTGACCCCCTTATATACATATATATATATATATATATATATATATATATATATATATATATATCTAGCTTCCAACAAATTCACACCCCATGAACCACAGAGCTGTAATTAAACAATTAGTCAGTGAAGCACAGAGAATATGCCTGACAACCAAACTGAAAGTCAGAAATACTAACCACTGGCGTATTTGGCAAGCTAATGCAAACTAATAAGACAAATAAATCGATCTTACACATACAGTAATAACACCTAGTAACAAAACCTATTTGCTGGATGCTTTTATCAAAAGCGTTTGCTGTAGCTTACATTTTTACACTTATGTCTATTTATATGCCTGAGCATATTAGACGAAGCATATTTTTGTAGAATGTAACAG